GTTTGGAGGTCAAGGGTCACTGAACTTAACAAACCTAATTTAAGTTCCAATAATTAGTTCTAAAAGTTTTCAAATCAACAAAATAAAAACGGTGTCCAAATTTATGCACCTGCCTAATTTAGTTTAACTAATTATTGCACACTTTCTGTAAATCATATCAACTTCATTTCACTTCTCAAATTTCACTGTGTTTGTCCTCTATATGATATATTTAACTGATATTTTTAGTCCAAACAATAAATGATTTATAAAGGAAAGTCAGGAAAATTAACAAGGCCGCCCAAACCTTTTCATATAACTGTAATTTGTTGTTTTCTGAGTGCTTCCTTTCGGCACTCTTGTCTTTGTCTAAAGCTAAATATAGCTTTAGCTTAGCAAGCATACACGCGTAACGCGTTGACAGTGTAACTGTTAGCGGAAGCGCTAACGTTGTTGCATTGTGTTACACAAATAACATTCTGGGTGGACGAAAGTGCACCGATTATAACAGTATGTATTTTTTACGAAGCTTTGAGGCAGATAATTTGCCTCGAGGATATTTTTTAATCGAGTTACTGGAATTATTCGAGGTATAGTTTCAGCCCTAGTTTTGACAGCAGGTTTTTATATTTTCCATTGTTTGTATTTGTCTCCTCATCAGACAGCATGGCTGAAAAAGCAAAAGTTCACATCTTCCTAGGGGCTCCTCTTCCCTCCTCTGACTCTGAAGCTGGGGTGAAGGAACGAGACTGTCCCCTTGCAGAATGGAGACACCTGGAGCTCACCTGGAGAGAGGGGAGACTAACACCTGCAGCAGGTTAGACTTCAGTATGACTCAGATATACTAAACTCCTCCTCATTTCTGACTGATGTTCCTGTTTGTTAAGATGGTCCTGAAAATGAAGCCAGAGCATCTAGAGTAAGCTCAGAAAAAGAGGAGGCCCAGAAGTCTGATCTGAATCCAGAACTTCAAGCTGATTGGACCAGGGCAACACTCCAAGATCACCCAGGAAAAGGGATGTCGAAAACACCAGTTCTGATCCCAGAGGAGAACTCAGACGGTGCTGAGGAAGATCAGTGTTCCTCTTCAGTTCATGAGTATCTGGACAGCTGTTTCCCTGCAGCTCAACCAGAACCAGAACTTCAGCAATCAGCTGCTATCCCTCCTCTGTCCACACGGACACAGTACCTCATTAGCTGGACTCTAAGTCAGGCTTTAATCCTGAGAGGCAGGCACAGCATCCAGTCAGCAGCTAACCCCACCGAAACCCCTCAGTCTGTCGGCTCAGGCACCCCAGAGCTCTTCAGTCCTGAACTTCCATCACTCGGACCCTCCGCTGAGCTCTTCATCCATCCCTGTCCAACCCCAAGGACTGAGGAGGGAGGGGTCATCCTCCAGGCCACCACAGATGGTGTCCTTTGTTCCCAGGAGTCTAAAAACTCCCACAACGTCTCCACAAAGAACCCCAGCAGCAAGAAAACTCAAATCTCTGAAGATTCTGTGGGTCTTGACAGAACCAGTAGAGCGGGTCTGCAGAGTCCAACCACACCTCTATCCAGGTGCAACATGGTGGGTTGGAGATACTCTGTTCTGGTGGTGGTGGTCCACCCGTGTCACCTAAAGGAGGTCAAGGTAAGTCCTGAGGTTACATATCAAATAAAAAGAGTAGACAAAAGCTTTACTGTGAAATATGCTACTACTACTACTACTACTACTATTACTGCTTATACTACTACTACTACTACTACTACTACTACTACTACTACTACTATTACTGCTTATACTACTACTACTACTACTACTACTACTACTGCTACTACTACTATTACTGCTTATACTACTACTACTACTACTACTACTACTACTACTACTACTACTATTACTGCTTATACTACTACTACTACTACTACTACTACTACTACTACTACTACTATTACTGCTTATACTACTACTACTACTACTACTACTACTACTGCTACTATTACTGCATATACTACTGCTACTACCTGTTTCTACAAACACTTTAAAACCATCAGAGCTGCAACAAAGTGCTACACACTTAAACCAAAGAGCATTTAAATGTAAAACAGAATAAATTCGATTCAATTCATGTATATAGAGCCAAGTCACAACAAACATCATCTCAGGGCACTGTACAACACACACACACACACACACACACAGACACACACACACACATTCCTTTTTAAAACAAATTAGCATCACATTTCAACATTTACCACAGTTCATAGATGTTTATTTTTATCTCTATCACATGTTACTGGATATGATGTATGAAAAAATGGTGGGTGTGGTTTTTTTAAAAACAAAACTGAAGTTCTGACTGGTGTTTAAAGGTGAAGTCTGGGCCATCAGCAGGAAGCTTTGTTGCTTTGGCATCCATCATCGTAATGGACCAGTATGGAACTGAGATGAAGGTAGTACTGTGGCGTCAGGCAGCGTTCTGGACCCTGACTCTTTGTCCTGGAGATGTCCTGCTTCTCGCAGGTGAACAGATACTCCTCAGTTTTTACCTGCTTAAATGCATGAATTTATGTTGATATAGCTTTGCACTGCACTGTGTCCGTCAACATGAAAGGTATCTGGATAATATGGAAGAGCACTGCATTCACCAAATAAAAAAATTTAGACACCTAATCTCATAATTATGAGATCAGGATCTCATAACTATGAGATATTATCTCATAATTACGAGAAAAGATCTCATAATTATGAGAT